GACAAGGTTAGATACATAACGGAGTTAAAATTATATAGATCTTTATATTTATTAATTTTTATGCTTTCAAATCTAATCAAACAATAAAAATTAATATTAATAGTAAGAGAAAGTAAGAACGTTCTAAAATTATTACTATGTACTTCTGTGGAATTAAATTTGACTAAAATTCCTTAAATTCATAGGGAAAGTTTGGTAATTTAATTTGACAAAAGTTACTTAAAATGATGATAGATATTAAAATATTTTACAAAAATTCACCAATCAACCTCATAGAACTATTTTGTCAATCAAAATAATATATAAAACATAAATGAGGGAGTTAGATTAGTTGAACGCCCAAAGACAAAAACTTGCCGGTCTAGGTCCTCAACCATTGTCCATTAATATTATATGGAACTAGCTTAGCCACCCCACTATAGAAATCCATAATCTTCCTTGACCAACTCCAAAAAAATAAAATAAAATAAAATCATTAATTATTCTCTCTACATATTTTCATTTTCAAGTGGACGACTCTCCTGCCGTGACCGTTGGTTTATTGTTGTCCAAGTCTTCTTCAATTTTGGGGACAACCCTTACCCACGGTATAAGCAATGATTGTCGTCGATCTTGATTGGCCCGGTCTACCGAGCCACGCAAATTATGCTGTGAAAACGTGTTCACTATGCTTTGTGAACACGTTTTAAAACGGCGTCGTTTTTACCAAAAAAAAAAAAGAAAAGAATTTAGTTAATATGTTATTAACGGTGTTTTGCATTTTATGTTCAGATTATGAATTTACATTTATTAAATTATGAATTGTTATGAGATTATGAATTTACAGTTATGTAATTATGAATTTTCTGTAAATTCATGATCTCATAACAGAAAATTCATAATCTCATAAAAGAAAATTTATAATCTCATAAAAGAAAATTCATAACTGTACATTCATAAATCCATGCCTGCACATTCATAATTTATGAGTGTTGAAGAAGCTTGCGCGAAGAGGAAGTGAAACCGCGAAATGTGAAAATGAAGAAGAAAAGTCGCGTTGTTAATTAAAAAAAAAAAAAAAAAAGATTGGTGAAAGATATCGGTGCGACTTACGTGCACCGTTACCGTTTGGGACCGGGATGGTGAACACGGTCCATGACATAACGATTGACTGAGTCATTGAGCCACTGTAATTTATATCTTCATAAATATTTTGTTGAACCGGAGTGTAGGGCCCTTAGAGTTAGGAATTTAATATTTTAGGAAAGGAATGATCGTGCCAATAAGCAGCCTGCATTAAGCTGCATGTAACTAAACTTGTCCCATTACAAATACAGTAAAGATTAATTTTAACATATAAATTTATCTCCTTTGAATTTGCAGGTCAACATCTTCGCCATTGACACTGAAAATTACGAAAAAGCATGTAAATCTCTTACAATATTTTTTTAAATTATACATAGCCATTGTGTATTATCAAACTTTATTCTTATTATATGTAGATTATTTTCTTATTTATTGTATATTGATTATATGTATGGTTTATTTAATTTTCCAGGTGGTGATGGACAATGGCCTAATCAAAGTCACCTTAAGCAATCCAACCGGTGCAATTGCGGGAATTCAATACAACGGAATTGATAATGTACTGGAAAGCGGTTTTAGAGAAACAAATAGGGGGTAATAAGTAATAATATATCAAACTGTTAAAATATAATATTTGTTTACAGTTAAGCCGCTCGAACACAAAATATATAAATTATTATAAAACATATTTTTAAACTTTTGTTAAAATTTGTGGTTCTCTTTAATGATGATGCATAGGTATTGGGACATCGTATGGAGCAAGCCAGACATGCCTAGTAGTCTGTTTAATATGTGAGATATTCAACCTAAACCCCTATTACCGTTTTAATGTATGGTCTTATATATATGTCACATTCTTAAATATTATTTGGTCATATATCCATTTTAAATATTGTTAATTATTCAGGCTTCCAGCCACAAATTTCACAGTAATTGCGCAAGATGAAAGCCAAATCGAGGTTTCCTTCACAATAACATTCAACCCCGATGATGACACTAGTGTTCCCATGAACTTTGACAAAAGGTAGATTATATTCAACTTTGATGCACTATTCTTTATTAAATTTTATTACCTATACTTGTAAGATATAATACAAGATATATGAATTTTGTTACATATATATAGGTATGTAATGTTGCCGGGACGTTCTGGTTTCTACTCATACGCAATATACGATCACCCACAAGGATGGCTTGACGTCAACATTGACGAAACCAGGCTTGCAATCAAGCTAAGTCAGAATATGTAAGTATTGAACATATAATATTATAAAATGAAACAGTCATCATTTAATTGTAATAATAATTTTCGAGTTTTTCTTTTGGTGGAACTTGAATTCATGTTAGGTTCCACTATATGGCTATATCTGATGACATCCAAAGAGTGATGCCCAGTGCTAATGATCGATCATCAGGTCAGACTCTTGAGTACAAAGAAGCTGTGTTGTTAACTGACCCTACAAATCCTAAGCTCAAAGGCCAGGTAACAAATTTTACTTTGCCATATATTCAAGTAAAATATATAGTCCTTACTCCTTATGGTTAATGTTTTTTTTAAAAAAACTTTATAATTAATTATGTTGTATAATATTCGTTTAGGTAGACGACAAATACCAATACTCTTTAGAAAGTAAAGATATGGATGTACATGGATGGGTTTGCTTTAAACCACACGTGGGGTTTTGGGTAATCACCGGAAGTGATGAGTTCCGTTCTGGTGGACCTATAAAGCAAGACCTCACTTCACATGTTGGTCCGACTTCCTTATCGGTATGTACCTAATTGCTCGAGTCCTAGCTTGATATAATTTGCGTTATTTAAAAAAACAAAATTGATCACAAAGTTAAAATTCGCTATCCAATGACTTTTCATACAAACATACTATTTCAGACATTTTTCAGTGCTCATTATGCTGGGGATGATTTTGGGCTGAGGTTGAGAAATGGTGAGGCTTGGAAAAAGGTTTTTGGCCCTGTTTTTCTCTATCTCAACAGAGATTCAAGTGACAACCCTCGAGTCCTTTGGGAAGATGCTAAACAACAAGTAAAAGAATTATTTTTCAGTTTAATAACAAAATTGGTACTTATTATTATAATTACTTATAAGAAATTGTTTTAATTTTTTATAGATGTTAGCCGAAACTAAAAACTGGCCTTATAATTTTCCTAAGTCGAAAGACTACGTTACTAGAAATCTACGTGGTACGATTACTGGTCAATTAATTGTCCGTGAGAGGTGAGATGATCTATTAAATCTTCAATCAATATTTTCTTATTTATAATTAGTTAAAAAAAATTTACTATGTGGATTATTGAAAAGTTTATGGATTTATTGCCCTGATTTAGGTACATGAATAAAGAGGTTACGCCAGCAAAATCTGCACACATTGGGCTAGCCCCACCTGGAGAAGCTGGATCATGGCAACATGATGTCAAGGTTCATTTTTTTCTGAAAACATGAATCTAACATTTTCAGTTTTAGTATCAGATCAAACATTATTAATTAATTACTTTTATTTTCGACAACCAAAAAAATTGAAATTAAGTTGGCACTATTATTGTTTCCAGGGCTATCAATTTTGGACTCAGACAGACAACGATGGGAACTTCGAGATCAATGCTATTAGGCCTGGAAACTACAGCTTATACGCATGGATCCCTGGAATTCTTGGAGATTATAAATACAACGTTAACCTTAACATCAAACCAGGTACACCTACCTTATTTTTCTCGAACTTCTCGTTGTTTTTATTCAAGAATTGATTATAATGATTGGAATTTTTGGACGCAGGAGATAATATTAATGTTGGTGGTCTTGTTTATAATCCACCGAGAAACGGTCCAACAATATGGGAAATCGGCATTCCTGATAGGAAGGCCGCGGAGTTCTTCATCCCTAAGCCCGCCCCTGATCTAATGAACTATGCATTCAACAATCAAACACAAAAGTAAGATTTTGTCTCTGACAATATTTTAATTTTATTCTTCAGTACACTGAGAATTGAGACTTAATATATGAATCGTTATTCAGCTTTAGACAATACGGCCTATGGGATCGTTACACAGATTTATATCCCGATAAAGATTTAGTTTACAAAGTTGGCAAAAGTGATTATACAAAAGATTGGTTTTTTGCTCATGTGAACAGGTAACATCTGGCTAAATCTATCCCATTTTTTTAAGTGCAATTTTTTTTTCTACTGTTATGAAATGTTTTGCCTTCACATTGTAGGAGAGTTGGGAAGAAAACATACGTACCAACAACATGGAGAATTTCATTTCCACTTGAAAACGTTAACCGAACAGGAACATATACATTGCGAATAGCGTTGGCTTCTTCCAACTATGCCACCATTCAAGTACATTATATTCCTCTTTTATTTTCTTTTTAATTTTTTACTATACGATAACCACTTATAAAAACTCCATACAAGATATGAGACATTCAGAACTATATTGATCGGCCTTTTCAATAATTTTATAATTATGTAACGTTGTCGTGTGTTCTTCCAGGTTTGGATAAATAGTGAAAAAACTATACAACCAAGGTTCACAATAAATGGACTTGGAAGGGACAATGCAATAGCAAGGCATGGAATTCATGGGCTATATTCAGAGCACAGCTTTGATATTCCAGGATTCCAATTCCTGAAAGGAGAAAACACAATATATTTAAGGCAGCCAAAAGGTGGAAATCCCTTCATTGGGGTTATGTATGACTACATCCGTTTAGAAGGCCCAAATAATTGACTTGGAAAATGTATATACACATAACACAGTGCTTGTTATTATACATTTTTTGTATTCTATTTTTTGGTTTGGTCAGGAATGTAGAAAATATATTGTTTTGTATGTAGTTTCCAAAGGCTATTATTACTTTCGCATTTCTCAGTTGTACATAAATTGTAATTTATTCTATACAAATGAAGTGGACCATAATTTTTATTCCTCTAATAAAATTTGGGCATATCGCCATATTCCATTTAGAATATACTTATCATTTTCTCTTTCTTTACAAGAATTAAGTAAGTATAATGCCAAAAAAGGGTGAAATTTTTTCACCAAGAAAATAAAAGAAGAAACAAAGAAATGGAGAGAGAAAAAAGAGAGGGGAGAGAAGTGCATTTAAATGCAGCATCAGAAGGATCCCTATACTGATCAGGGCCTTCTAACCTAATATAGTCATACATGACACCTCTCCAAGGGCTGGTGGCTCCTGCCTGTGTAAGAAAGATTATGTTCCTTCCTTGAACTAGCCATGTTCCTGCTATTCTAACACTGAACAGCCAATACAACCCATGAATCCCGTGTCTCGCTATGGCGTTGTCGCTGCCTATGATCCCCGTTGTAAAATGCGGGGGTTGCGCTTCTCCGTCATTGAAACGCACCTTTCGGGTAGTTGAAAACGACATTAAGATAAGATAAGATCGCGCATGTAATATACACAGACATAGTAATAGCTAGTTTCAATGAGCTAGTCTTATCGAGAGGCAGATTCAGGCCTCTGCCCAACAATCTCCCTAGCCATCTAGTGCTGGACTTGGCCCTTCATCGGCCTCTGCCCAACAGGATAGTAAAAATATGTAAGAAATGGTAACAGAAAAGGGTGATGTGAGTCTCTTACTTGTAGCTCTGCTTCTTGAGCTGATGCCAGTGCCAATTGGAGTGTGTAATATGAAGCTCTATTCACGCTTTCAAGGTCAAACACAATACTCCAAGTGGTTGCTCCATATGTACCATTTTCAAAGCTCCTGGTAACATGAGCATAAAACCAGTCTCTAGCGTAATCACTTGTTCCAACAGTGTAGACAAGATCTCCGAGAGGATATAGATCTGTATAGCGTTTCCACAGGCCATATTCTCTAAACCTTCAAGTAAAAGTTACGAGTGAAACGCTATATATGGTGCTGATTAAATAGAGGTGATTAGTCTTAGGGAACTGACAATTTGATGGTATAACAATTTCAATAGGATTAATGAATGCCCTATAATTCTTATATGCAAGAAGAATTTTAATGAAGTTTGAGCTCACTTATTTGGCCCTTCATCTTCAAAATCATGAACTCTGAACATGGGGCTAGGAGTTGGGACATAAAATTCAGCAGCCGTACGGTCTGCCACACCTATTTCCCAAAGAGTAGCTCCGTTTCTTGGAGGCTTATAGACTAAATCCCCCAGTTCTACATCGGAACCTGAATCAAGTGAACAAAAAAGTAACTTAGAGAATTGCTTTTACATACCAAAGAAAATTAAGAAATTAAACTGAAATCGTGGTAAAACTAAGGACCTGGTATAACACTGATGTCTGTTACATATTTGTAGTCTCCAATCCTTCCCGGGACTGTCGCATACAGATTATAAGTGCCTGCTCTTACTCCTTTGATAAAGAAGTTCCCATCATTATCTGCTTGGGTCCAGAATTGATACCCCTGTAAAAAGAAAGAAGTAAAAGTGAGAAGCAAATTAATTACTATAACATATATTGTCCTTACATAATATTTAATCGTCTCTGTAAAACATCAAAATCCTACCTTGTTTTCTCTTTGCCATGATCCAGGAGCACCTGGCATCGCCAACCCCACATAGGCATATGATGCTGGAACAGATCGTTCATCAACGAACCTAAAGAGACACCATGAGAGCAATGTCTTTTTTTTTTTTTTCTCTCTTCATGTTGGTTCAATTACCGGGACAAATAATGTAATCAATCTAGAGAAAGAAAATTACCAGTCACGAACAAATAATCTACCCCTAACAATTCCTCTTTGATCTGATTTCATGTAGTCTATCGAATGCACAAAATCATACGGCCAGCTTGCAACTTCTTGATTCATCTGTACGTTGCAGACAGATGAATCAAGTAGTAATTCCTAAGAAAACAATTCAGTTGTACGAAATGAATCATAGAAAGAACAATCGAGTACCTTGTTCTTTGCGTCATTCCAGAGCACAGAAGGATCGTTCTCAGCAGCAGTATCGGTGTTGAGATACACAAACACGGGACCTAGAACCTTTGTCCACGGTTCTCCATCTTGGAATTTGACATCTAGATCCTCCCCGGCATAATGCCTACTAACAAATGTCTGCAGTTCAGTTAAATACAAGCGTGGAAAAAGGATTACGCAAATTCAATAGCAATGTCTACGTTATCTTATCATTGTGGTAAGAGAAACGTATATACTATATAGTATGTACTTACAGAAAGCATCGTAGGACCAACATGGGATGTTAGCTCTTGTTTGAAAGGTCCACCGATACGAAACTCACTGCTCGGAGTGATCATCCAAATTCCTACAGGGGGATCAGTGCATACCCACCCATGAACCTTATTGTCTTTGTTCTCACTAGAGTAGAAGTACTTATCATCCACCTGCAAGCACATGATTCTTCAGTTCTTCGATCAAATTGTTAAATATAAAGATAACTAGCAGAGTTATTAACAAAAGAGCGATTTTCATGAATTTAAGGGTCGGACGAACCTCTCCTCTGAGAGCTCGATTGCTTGGGCGTGTCAAGAGAACTGCTTCGGGGTAATCAAGTACCTGGCCACTAAGACGGTCCTCAGGCATTGGCATGAACCTCTGTCTATCATCCGAGACAGCCATGTAATGAAACCTGAGATTCATAGAAGAATAAAACTCTTTTTCAAGGATAATTTCATTCAGGCATTACCACAAACAGGAAGTGTGCAAGGTTTTTGAAATCTTACAAGTCTTGTCTAGGTTTGAATACAACCCTGCTTTCTTCCATACGCACCCCTGGAAATCCTTCTAAACGTTGAAATATAGCATACGTGTAGAACCCAGGCGTATCACGCAGCATTATAAATCTATAAAGTCAACAACAACAACAACAGCAATGATACAATGCTAGAATGCAGAAAAGAAGAAAAAATTCTCAAGTGTCCCAATCATTCATATTCATTAATTATTCATAAATTAGACCTTTAAAGTATACCTTTTGTCAATATGTACTGGAGCTACATTATTCTGAGAGGCATCCCATGTTCTTGTAAATGAAATCTCTACTTCACTTTCATCATTTGTTATGATCTCGAAACTCGTACCTTGCAATCTGCAACACATTCATTATTCAATCTCTCTAGCTTTATAAAATCATGATGCCAAAAGTAATTATAATTATAAATACAATTATAACAAATTCATTAAATAAGATGTATACTTGTCCAATTCTCCATCGATTCCTGGGCCGTGCCAAATTGCATCCCAATACCTGCAGGCAGAACTTATCATTGGCAATTATTAAGATATATATATAGGTAAAGTAATATCTACAGTCAAACTTTCTTTACCCTCTATCGTTTTCAGGGTTTTTTGTTTCCAGTAAATTTTTGATTCCTTGGTACGATATCCCTGTAACAAGACCATCTGGAACTGAGAGTGAAACACTGAGAATGCCATTATTCATCACTGCCTGAAAAAGAGCAAATGACATCAATCATTACATCACTGACATCCTAGGAATACACAAAATGTGTTTATTTGTAATTTTTTTTTTATGTTTGAAAACTGAAAAATTAAAGTAAAACACGAAAGAGTTGGGACAATTATTTACTTGGTGATCCTGTATGTCGAGTTGGACCCCAGCTCCCTTTAGCGATCTCCTGTTGTGTCAGAGCAAAGGACATTGCAGATTCGCAGAAAGCTGATTTCTTGGAACATTTTGTAAAACATCATAGATTTTCACTAACCTCTGCTGATGATGATGCCGACACTCCGCCGCCGGGGACAAGAACAGCAGCGCAATTATCATTTCCAGATGCCACCAATCAAGAAACCTCCGCCGTAGCAATCCACACCCCATATTTTCTGCAATCTTCAACTGTTCATCAATTTATCTTGTACAAAACTGAAACAAATTAAAGATGAAGCGAAATACAGATTAAACTACTCACCGGTTCACCGACATTATCCCTCAAAGTTAACAGAGATAGATGGAGAATATAAATCATCAATACCCTTTATTTTCGTTGGGAAATTAGAGCAGATAGATTCAATTATTTTTCCAGGACAGATTGATTAATGACTCCGCCATGTTCGTTGGTGTTGTATTTTAGTGATGGTGCTGACAGGGGAATTTGATTTGTCGGTTGGGTCTTGGGTGTCATAATGTCATTATCATCATAATCACTTCCCATTAATAGATTCTCTTTTTGACAATAAAGCCATGGAAATTTATTGGGGTACTGTAACTAACTTGAGTTGGGAACAGAAATCTTTCACTTAATTGGTCTGTTTATGTAGGGCCTAACAACAATATTAAGCCTAAAAAAAACACCATTGTTTTGTTCCAAGAATCTACCAAGTTAGACTTTTTGAATATGAAGAAACATAAAAGAATCATACCCGGCATGGAAGGTTAAGTTGCTGAAGAAGATGAGAACATCAAATGCAGAACATCATGGGAAAGTGGCATCAAGAAAGGGTTGAAGAAGAGATGCGGTTTGGCATTTGAACAACAGAGGGGAGGGGGGGAAGTGGGTTGAAGAAAGGCTTCCTTTCTTGTACTTTAAGCTTCGATGGTTGGGATTACGGAAAGTAAATTCCCAGCACCACCCAGAAAAAGGAAAAAGAATTATTAACAAAAACAAAGCAACCTTTTTTCTTCGCAGTTCTGAGAAAGGAATAAAGTTCAATTATTTACACATCTTTCCATTTGGATTCGCGCTTTGTGGTTTTCTTCGAAACTGCGTACATATACAAGTCTTCATCATCTACGCAGCGATGGGCGGAGGTACGCGGGAGGGTATGGGTCAAATTATACTGTGCAATATCGTCTATATAGTAAACTGAATTCATGATAAATGTTCATTGAAGATTCATTTTTTTAATGTATTACGATTACGATTCATGATAAAAAATAAAAAATAAAAATACTATTAAGGAAACTAAATACCCTTACTTAAAATAAAATTTTTCTTAAATATTTATAGGAAGAACCAAAAGTGTCTAAAATATGATAGTTTAGAGTATTAAATAGCAAAAACAATAGTTTAGTACTAAATTTGAAATTGCCAGACAAATTAAGGAACCTCCGCTGGAATTAATTAATTCCTTAAAATTACATCTTTTATATGAAATAACAAAATCATTGGAGACTATGTGGTCTAATGGTACCCAGAGTTCGAGCCTCAGTTCTTTGTGTTTCAATAGGTATGAACAGATATTACAATGTAATAGAGCCAGCAGCATTCAAAAAACAAAATTATTTTTTTATATTATTATATTATTTATCATATTTCTAATTTTAAAATACGTACCCTTAAATTTCAAAATTATTCATCTGTATCTTCAATATACTTAAAAATCTTTTCATCACACTCACACCACTAAAAGTGGACTATAATGGGGGAAACTTTAGGGATAACGTGAACATGTATTTTACACTTTTTGGAACTATATAAGGAACTAATCATGGGGAAAAAATTCATGCATTTTAACTAATACACACATGTTGTGTTGGATGTGATGCGACTTCTGAGGTGAATGATGGATGATGATAAAAAAAAAAAAAAAAAAAAAAATTAAAAGAGAATAGTAATATTAACCGAACAATATAATGTAATATAATCAACCAAAATGAATTTTATTTTATTAAAAAAAAAAAAAAAGATAAGATAAGGGTCAAATAGGTTAATTTACTTTCGTTTGCAAGAAAATCAACAATTACTGTCTAGAAGTGCACTATAGACGAAACTCACTTTGTGACTATAACCTATAGGCGATAAAGAACCATAATAAGGTAAACCAATTTAGATTGTTCAACTTATAATCGATCAGTTCAAACTAATTAAGAATGTTAATAGACAACTCCATGAAAAGTCAAACTTAGAATTTTGTGATTATTAATCTAACTATTTGACCAATTTCATTAGAGTTGTCCCTTCAATTGAATACTTTCACAGCACGTTTGGTTCACGGAATGGATTTTGAGGTAATATGAATGTTATTCTATAAGGAATGGAATAGGCAAGGAATTGCATTATATTGTTTGGTTCGCGGAATGAATAGACTTTAGGAATTATATTACAATGTTTGGTTGATTTAAAGAATAGAAATGAAATATGTTTTAAAAGACATAAATACCCTTATAAAAATATGTGATGGTGGTGATGGTAGCGTTGGTGGCGGTGGTGGTGGTGGCGATGGTGGTACTGGTGGTGGTGGCGGCGGCAGTGGTGAAATGTGAAATAAATTTGATTGGGTGGTAAAATAGGAAATAAAAACTTTAGACTATTCTTGAGAACTCAGGAATAGCCTAATACCAGGAGGGTCCCCTTAGGAATCTCTATTCCCCTTGCAAGGGGAATATACATGTCATTCCGGGAACAATGTTTCTGGGAATACAAGTTGTTACCAAACAAAGTAATAAGCCTATTATTGGTAATGTTAAGTCATTGCAAGCCTATTCCGTGAACCAATTAAACACCCCATCAAAGTTTTATGCTATCCCCACTTTTGGTAGGTTATGGTGAGCTAGCATCGATAAGCTAATGTGTAGCACATTTTTTTTCTTTATTTTTTTTTTTAACATGTGAAGGCTCTTCCTTTCTGAAATCCTTTACATGTTATTTGGTACATTAAAATTTCAATTCATTTCCTAATAACTTTTTAACTTCTAAAATTTCCTTATTTGTTTGGACGGAATTACAATTCCCTCACTTCATAGAATTCTAATAACAACCCCTCTCTTCAAGAATTTCTATTCCATACATGCCGAATGGAAAGAAAAAAGATAATGAATAAACATATTTATCCTTATTTTGCTTGCCAAATACATGTGTTTATTATTATTATTACTATTGTTACTATTATTATTACTATTAATAATATTATTATTACTATTATTATTACTATTACTATTATTAGCTTTGCTTCTTCCTATTACTACTACTAATTGTCCGAGAAAGCATGGTGCAACAATGCTTAATTTGGTGTGTTTTTTATTGTAGGAAGAAAAGATTGGGCAAAGGCATAAACAAGCATGGAAGAGAATAATTGTGGAGATAATGAGGCAATGATGAGGTGCAAAACGGAGAAGGGAGAGGAGCATCACAAGGATCAAGGGAGTGAAGACAGAAATATAAGGAGAATCATCCATCTTTTATTACTCATCGTTTATTCTAATATATACATTAACATCATGTATAGAGTTCTAGTTTAATTATAAGACTACAAAAGATGAAAATATATTATTATAGTATAATACATTTAATAATGTCCATATATATTTATTGACAACAAGGACAAAGTATTCAAGTAGAACTATTTTGATCTATGGTATTAAGTGAACAACCCTTCGATAGAGGGGCATATTTGATCTTAATTAAAAGAAAAATAAAAGAATAAAAAAACTTGTTTTGTTATACTCTCGATCCCACTGCAACAACTACTTGGGACAGTTGTCGACCACGAGCCGTGAGCTGTACCACCAATTACGCCGATCGAGAACCACATAGACCATATTGTAAACTGTCTTAAGTCAAATATTACTTAAATTAGTACCACGTAACGTATTAGTTACGAAGTCCGACATGTTTTTTTTTTTTTCATTCTAATTAAAGTTACAAAAATTAAAATGATTGGCTAAAATTAAAAAAAAAAATTTATAAAATTGTTTGAGTGAATCGTGTTATAAAATTAGCTTCGCTCAATAGACAATTTGACCCACATGTTTGGTATACTTGTCAATTACATGTATATGTACAATGTAAATTTAAGTATAAACATTGGAATAAGTTGTATATGATCGTTTTACGTGGTACATATAATATTTTATATTTTCATAAAAAAATATTATATTTTATTAAAAAAGTATTATACGAGAGAATGTGAGACCGTTACATACAAGACCTACTCAAAGCATATATATTAATTGATGGATTATTCAATATTAAAATTTACGGGAATGCTGCATTGCTGCGTGCAATAATAGAAATTACAGCTTATGTGTGTTATTTGTTAGTGTAGAATAGTTACTCGAACAACATATGAGATTAACACAAAATACATTATAGCACAATTAAAAAAAAATGCTACGAGGTTTCTTAAATTGGAGTATAAGAAAGAATTTGAAAGAAGTGTCTTGAAAGTTCATCAAATCAAAACTTATTTTTTTAACATAAACACATTAGAAGCTGAGGCCACCATGGAATAAAGGAGTAGATCAAAAGTATAAAAGTTGATTCCAAAAAAGTAACAACAACATACATATCAATGATGACAATATAGTAAGGCATACAATGATCTTTTAATCTAAGTAGTTGAAAACAAATATCCTCTAAATTACAAGTTTCACCATAATTAGGCACAATTAATGAGTATTTTACTTTTGTGGGCAATATTTTAAGGGTTTTTTTTAAAAAAAAATATTTTTAATATTTAGCGAGAAATTATTGAAATTGTATAAGAATATATGCAATATTAGTACTCGTTATATCAAGAAACAATGGAATATAAAAAAGTGACTTTGTTTTCATTGAGAAAGCTGGATAAGAAATAAGAAAAAGAAAAGCCAAAGGGAAGAAAATTAAAGAGTGTACTCCAGGGAATAAGTTAAAGAATTATTACGGAATTTGGTGTACGTACGTAAAAATATCCAACTACTTTTTGAATTAAATCAATATTTTTTTACAAATGGTAAAATTTATAGTACAAAATTATTATGAACATGTAATAAATTTCTTGCTACAGATTTATCACCATTGTATATGCGGAACATATAATATTGTTTAATGTGAGTGGTGGTTGAAGTCCCCATCAGTCCTAGCTGCCAAAATGGTACGATGTTGCTGATTTAGGTTGTTGTATGCAACATCATGCCCGGTGGTATAATTGTTACATATTACATAGAAACCTTAAACTGGTCAGGACCTTCGAACCTTATATAGTCATATAAGAGACCTCTCCAACGAGTGAAAGCTCCTCCATTAGTCATAAATATTGTGTTGTTTCCTGGGACAAGCCATGATCCCCTTACCCTGAAACTGAAGAGCCAATACAGCCCATGAATCCCATGTCTTGCTACGGCGTTGTCTGTGCCTATAATCCCCGTCGAGAAATGGGGAAGTTCTGCATCTTTGTCGTTGAAACGTAACTTGAAAACCAAGAAAAATATGTATAACTTTAGTGTCGGTTTATTTGGTGTCGATATAATATAATGTCAGAAATGTAGATGGAGACTGTAATTAAGTACTTGTATGTCTGCTTGATGGGCTGCTGCCAGTGCCAATTGGAGTGTGTAATATGAGGTTTTATTTACACTTTGAAGCTCAAATACAATTTGCCTTGTGGTGTCCCCAAACGTTCCATTTTCAAGTTCTCTGCATCAAGTTTAAAGCCAACCAATTTGAGCCCATTTCTAATATGATGCGAATTAGGTCTACCGGTCTACTGAACTAGTGATTTAAGTCTGGCACGTGCCTTTTTAATTTGTTAGTTGTCAATTAATATATATATATATACCTGGTGACATGAGCAAAAAACCAATCTTTAGAGTAGTCACTTTTTCCAACAATGAAGACAAGATCTCGATCAGGATACAAATCTGCGTAGCGCTTCCAAAGGCCATATTCTCTGAACCTTCAAGCAATTGGATCAATAATGGTAAGACAGATATTGAATCCCATAAAAAAATGTTTAGCTTGAAATAAGTTATAAGCTCTTACTTATTTTTCGGTTGATCTTTGAATTTGTGGACTTTGTACTTGGGATCGGGGTTTGGGATGTAAAATTCAGCAGCTGTACGCTCTGCAACACCTATATCCCAAAGTGTGGCTCCATTTCTTGGAGGTTTATACACTAAATCTCCCAGTTCAATATCAGAACCTGAAAAATTTATTATTAATGTTAATTAACAAATTAAATTGTTTAATTTCTGGGAAATTTGAAAACCTTTACGTTGGTGGCGGGGTGAAGAACATATATATATAGGCCAGGACCTGGTTTAATGTTGACATCAAAGCTATCATATTTGTAGTTCCCAATCCTCCCTGGAACTGTTGCATGTAGAGCATAAGTCCCCACTATTACACCTTTGATGATGAAGTTCCCATCTTTATCTGCTTCTGTCCAGAATTGATATCCCTATAATTAAAATGAAAGAAATCTTCAAAACATGTTACTTATACTTTTACTAGATACTTATAGTAACATTGAATTGTTTGATCTGTAAATTCAACACCTGAGACTATTGACTTGATGACCATAAGGTTACAAGTTTGACTCCCAACAAGACTGGTCTATTGGTCTTCTTAATTGGTTTTGATCGAGCCAATCAGCTATGGGTAACCTATTATGATTTATGATTTACCTAATTGTGGTCCTTTGTTGCCCACTAGGATCAAAAGACAGGATTTTACTCAGCACAAAAACACCCTCAAATAGTGATTGTGTGTTTCTCTTGTCACTCAAAAAGAAGAAAAATAAAATAAAATAAAAATTAAACACCTTGTTTTCTTTTTGCCACGATCCAGGTTCACCCGGCAGCGCCAATCCCACATAGGCATTTGATGCTGGAACTGGTTGTTCATCGGAAAACCTGAAGAGACACTAGACAGCTTCAACTAACACTTTAAGATCGAGACAGAACACGTCTTTCAATTTAGTTTAAGAGGTTTAGTGAAGAATATGTAAGCAATTAAGGTATAGTAGTTAGAGAAATTAAAGTTACCAATCATGAACAAGTAATCGACCTCTGACGGTTCCTCTTTGCTGAGATTTCATGTAGTCCTTGGAAAGTGGAAAATCATATGGCCAGTTTTCAACTTCTTGATTCATCTGTATGGTTAGATAGATCAATACTTATAATTAATTTCTTTAAGAAACACAGATCGAAAGATGAGAGTAGTGAAATCTAACAAGTACCCTTTTCCATGCATCATTCCAGAGTAGAGAAGGATCATTCTCAGCAGAAGAATCTGAGTTGAGATACACAAATTCAGGACCAAAAACCTTTTTCCATGGCTCTCCATTTTGAAACGTAATATCTAAGCCCCTCCCAGCATAATGCCTACCGCTAAACTTCTGCAATTTCGTCAAGAAATGGCATTCATACAATTCATGAATTCAAGCTAATTAAGGAAATATATATATATATATATATATATATATATATATATATATATATATATATATATATATATATATAGCTTCAATATAATTCTTCTTTTTCTCTACGTACTCACAGAGAGTAAAGTGGGGCCGACATGAGACGTTAAATCTTGCTTGAAAGGACCACCAATACGAAACTCCATGCTTGGACAGATCATCCAAAATCCCAGTGGGGGATCATTTTTAGTAGAAACCCACCCATGAACCTTAATGTCTTTACTATCTTTTGAATAGAAGTACTTGTCATCAACCTGCATATATGCATGCATACAATATTCAACAACATATATATATACATTCTCATACGTAAAAAAAAAAAAAAAAAAAAAAAAATCTGGACAGCACTTCGCCCCTTAATTGGGCCGACTCAGTGTAAATGAAAATTAGCCTGAGTACGATACGTGCTTAAAGGTGTCTGGTACAGTTATGGCCTACGCCGTCCGGGACACCTCGTGGTCTGTCTTATAATAATCACAATGATATATTATCCAGAAACAATCAAGAAAACATGCAGCTTCTGATCTGGGTAATCAACCTCTCCTTTGATAGATGGATCAATTGGATTTGTCAAGAGAACAGCTTCTGGGTACTCAAGTTGCTGCCCAGTTTTACGATCCTCTTCTGTTGGCATCATCCTCTGTCTCCCATTTGAGATAGCCATGTAATCAAACCTAATATATATATGTCAATTTTTTTAAGATTAGACCGAGGTCAACTCATAATAAACTTCATAAAAAAAAAAAAAAAAAAATTAACTGTACTAGTCAAGATATTTGTCAAAGTCTTACATATCTTGTCGAAGTTTGAACGCAAGCCTGTTCTCTCCTACATGCATGCCAGGCCATCCTTCTAATCGCTCATATATAGAGTACGTATAGAAACCCGACAACCCCCGCAACATTATAAGTCTGTTACATCATAAATTATTAAATTTTAACAATATTTAACATGTTACAAATCGAATATAAAATGGAAAACAACGTAATCAAATATTAACCGACTTATGCTGATTTACTTTCGTTCTTTTTCAGAGTCACAAAATATGATTTATCATGTGTACACTTTTTTCTTTCGTCACTTTAAAAAAAAAAAAAAAAAAAAAAAAAAAAAACACTGTTAGGTCATACCTGCGATCAACATGTAACGGCGGATGAGTTGCAGAACCATTCCACGTTCTCGTAAACGAAACCTCTACTTGATCTTCACTTTGTGCTATGACTTTGAAGCTTGTACCCTCTAACCTGGAAAGAATAAATTAACATTTTCTTTTCTGTCCTAGTAAACAAAGGTCAAAAGTAATATAATTGATCGAATGTTTTAATTTACTTGTCCATTATCTGTGTTTTATTCGTTAGATGGTTCCACGTAACACTCCAATATCCTCTATTGTTATGTGGGTTGTCTGTGCTGAGTAAATTATGAAGCGCTTGGTACGATATCCCTATGACAAAACCTCCTGGGACTGTCATATTGACTTTAAGGATGCCATTACTCATCACTGCCTGTAAAGGGGGTAGGAAAGCAAACATCATAAAATTCAACATAGTTAGTAGTATTAGGTTTGGTTTGGGATCACATGATGATACACCTCTCCAAATTTTAATAATGCACTAATAATAATATCCTTCAGCTACAAATTAAAGTCCATTTGGATAACGTGGTTTGGTGGATGGCCAAATTTTACTCTGAACCATACATCAAAATTCATCAAATAAATAGTGAACTTTATGCATACATGCATACAAATAGTGAATCTTATGCATACAAAAAGTGAAATACGACATTCAACAAATAATGAACACAGCAAAAATGACCCTAGTGAACATTACGCATATAAATAATGAACCCCCAAACTGTTTTCATACTATTTTATGAAATACTGTATCATAAAAATAATGTATCATGATCATTGGGAATGGTGGGGTTGGTAAAAAGTTAAATCGGGAATTATATTAACAACATAAAAGTAGAATTCAATAAATAAATAGATTAAAAAAAAAAAAGATTAGATTTACATAGCCTTGCTGTATATCCAATAGGACTGGAGAGGCTTCCCTTGACATCCCAAAACGGGCTGCCGGCAACAGGAAAAACTGAGCAAAAAAAATTATTAACATTCGCAAATACCATCCGACAAGCGTGTTCCATTGCCATCTACAACTTGTACGGTCTGCAGCAAGATAAGGGCAAATGGTAATAATAATGAAGGGAAATCAAAAAAAAAAAAAAAAAAAAAAACTATGATATTGAAAGTATATGATGCATACCTGCCATGGATGGCTTGTTCCTTCAATTCGATAGATAGATGTGTGTTTGCCGGAGAAAATCAGATGAAAAAAATATATATCCTGGGAATTATGTTGATGTTTATGTTTATCCTGGGAATTATGTTTATGTTTATGTTTGCGAGTTTTATGGTATTTGCAGATTTGATTCGTCAAATGTGGTCGTGAACAGATGGAAATTAAGTATACGGTAAGTAGAGAAGAAGGAAAGCTTGTAGGTTTGTGATCAATGACTAATTCTTACTAAACATTCCCTACTTCCCATTTTATATGGTATTAATACTAAATATTCTCTCCGCCCATTTTGTATGGTATTAATTAGGTTTCACTAAAATTGTTTATAATTTCATTTTTCATAATATTAAGTTTATTATTTTTCATAATATTATATTAAGCACGTTGCGATTTGCTTAGTTCTTTTATTTCTTGCTCTGTTATTTACATTCCTCGTACGTCTAACGTTTTAGCATATTCGTTAGCTTTAGCAGCCTACTCACTGGCAGACTCTATGGCATGGGAGAATGAGCCTCCTATGTTTGTTTCAGCTTTGATTGATTAATATATGCAGCAGTTTACTTTTAAAAAAAAGTTTATTATTAATATATAAAATCATATATTTACAAAATATTTTAAAAGTACTTTTAGATCTAAAAAAAATTAAAATTAAAATTATTTTAAAAACACTAATAAAATAAAAAAAGAATAATAAAAGATTTGTTACGTTTGTCAATAAATACTAAACATGACTGTAAAATGTGGTAGAAGAAATAGGATAAAAAATTTCATAAAAGTATCTAGTTTGTTTATTTTTTGAGTACAACTTACGACTCTACATTATTATAATATAGTATCTATCCATATATACTTTCTTAACCTACCAAAGCACAAAAAGTCAATACTATCATTGGAGTTCAAACTTGAAACTTTCCATTTAAGAGAGTCATAGATATGCCGCTTGACCACCTCGTTATAAAAAAAAATAAAAAAAAATGGTGAAATACGGATCAATGGTACGTATGAGTTCATAGTAACTAATAAGTCGAAATTTTTTATATAATTTTAAGGGTGAAAGAGAAATAAGATGATGAAAAATTTTCATTATCAGCTTTGGTTAACTATAAATTTTAAAGAGTAAACGTTAAGTTTAACATATGCGTTAATGAAATTAAAAGACCAAAAGCCCTGCTTTGTTACTTTCTTTATTTTGTTTTCTCTCATTTTCAGTTACCTTTTGAAAAAAGATAATTATTCAAACACCAAAACACGTCCTATAATTAATATCATTTCCATATATGGGCGGGGACGCACCTCATGCACGTTAAAAACTATTACCAAAAAAATTATTCTATTACCAAACACGTCCTTTAATTAATACATTTTCCATATATGCTGATAGATATATATAACTACTATTATTATTATTTTTAAATTTGTTTTTATTATATAACAAATAATATGTTCATTTTCAAAAAAAAATGGACCAAAAGAAAAAATGCAATTTATTAACTTTCAATAAAAAAATGATACTTTCTTACCTTTAACCAAACACTATACAATTAATGATCTCGAAGTTTCAAAACAACATTTAATACAATATTAAAGTATCGACTAATAGTTTCTCCTGACTTTTGAAAATTATTTTGAATGATCCTATTTTTTTACATGATGAGCAATAATATGTAAAAAGATTAAGGCCTTGTTTGGTAAAATGGCTATTAGCTAATAGCTGTTAGCTGTTAGATGATTGTGTTAATAAGAGATATAAATAGTTGATAATATTAGCTGATTGTATAAAAGTGTTTGGTAAATTAGCTATTAGCTTATACCTGTTTGGTATAATTTCTTTTCTCAAAAAGTTAATTGAAAAAGTTGTTTGAAGTAGCTTTTTGAATTTTAGCCTTTTGGATTTACAAAAAGCTAATTAACCAAACATTTATATTGATATTTTAACTAAATCAAACAATTAATAGTGGTCAAATAAGTCAAAATTGACCTATAGGCCAATTTTTTTTACCAAAATTGAGATATGCATTTTTCATCACTAGAATACACCGTCCGTAACATATATTCTTGAGACCATAAAATATTAATAATATAAGATTTCACTTGTTCTTTCTTAGAATACAAATTTTCAAAATAGACATTATCATTGTCAATAATAAACTCACAGAAGCGCACATATCCAACTACAGTACCACATACTCAAATTTAAAAATTACAATACTCAAGACAACAAGAATAAATCATATGATATATGAAAAACACAGATATATTCAAATACAAATTACAACAGAATATATATTACAACAATACATACAATAGCGCCACCAATTTTACATATAAATAAAATCATATACATATAAATAATTTCTAAAAAAAAATAGAAAAACACCTGAAGTTTGAACAAGAATTTCAATCTGAATCAAATGCAAATGGCGGAGGAATAGCGTGCAAAAATTTTAGGTTAAAGGAGGTAAAATAGAAAATAAAATACATGAATTATTTATGAGAACTTAAAATATCTTAATACGGAAAAAAGAAACAGTAATAAAAGTTCTTACCAAACAAATAAATATGTCTATTATTAGAAATGTTATGCTTATTTCATTCTAGGCCTATTTTGCAAATCAAACTTACTGTTATGGAATTTCAAATTCTTACTCTTACGATAAATTTGGTGGATTGTCTCTTGACTCTTCCCAATTTCTAAGCAAATTGCTTTCAAATGCTCTCTCTTCTTATTTTTGGCCAGATCCCCTTTAATGCACCATTAATTATCGTTAATAGTGTCTTGTTCTTTTGTTCATTGGAGTCATATCTTCTTCCTGACCAAAATTTTCACCACATGCTTCTTCAACTAAATGACCAACAATCACATACCAAAATTAATCATGTTTATATCGAATAAAAATCTTAAAAAATACAAAATAGTCTTTTATAAATTTTAAAGTAATTATATTTTTAAAGTTCAAATTCGAGACCTTTGAATGTTTGATTAAGTCAGACAATTTGACCTTCTGATGGGCCTCTTGGCCAAATTTTTGCCTTAAAGTCAGACAAACAATTCCTTCTGATGGGCCTGTTGGCCCAATGTTCATTACTATCATTTTAGCGCCCCAACAATATTATGTTAATTTTATTTAACAAATTATAGAATTAAAGCAAAAACTAGTGTGAGACTATTTCATGGGTCTCAATTCGTAATGTGAGTCAGATATTTGATTATTGAGGTTAAAGATGTGACCCATTAATCTAAGATCTAACCCTCTCTCACGAATTGAGACCTTGAGACGGTCTCACACAAGTGTTATCCTTGAATTAACACTTCATAAGCCAATTACCATGTAATATGATGCCGTCTCGATTACCATTTCAAATCAATAGTCATATGTTTGAATCCTGTTTGTGGAGGTTTAGATTTTTGAGCTGAAAATATTTGATAAAGTATAGAACAAATACTACTTTATAAAATTCATGAATATTATTTTTTAAAAAATACTTCATTTAATATTGTATTCATATTATATTAACTTCTTATATATATTTAGCACGTATGAGTAACTCAATTGGTCATATAGATAAAGTTTATGAAGACTTATTAAAGATCGAGTCTCACAAAAATTAGTGTCTTAAGTAACTTCTCAAAGTAAAAAAAAGCTCTTTGTGCACAATTAACACTGCGTTACCATGAGCCAACTTTTTTTGGGAAGAATTCTTATATATATTTAACGTGAGACGGTTATAAAAATATTATGAAAAAATGCTGTCGGTTGGGCATTAAATAAATTGGATAAAAGTTAAAGTGATCGCCGTGGGCCGTGGGCCATGTTCACGTGCTCTCCTTTGGGAAAAGTTTTTTTTTCTTTTTTTTAAACAATTATTAGAAAAAGAAAAAAAAAAACATTTCTTACTATTCAATGTTCACAAGCTAGTAGTTTTAGTATATAACACCAGTGACAAGTTTGAAAATTTTGGTTCTTTTTATATGTTAACGAAAATATTAATGATTTTAAATTACAGATTATAATTGTGTCATTATATTGATCAACAAGTTCCACACGTACAATGTGAAAGTGACGAATTTTAACAATTTATATTGGTGAGGAACCAAAATATTGTTTTACGAAAGAATGAATAATTAATAATGTTTAAATTACCAATTAAATACTAAAATCATTATTTCGTATAATAAATAGTTGAATAACACTATCCCTGTAAAGTTATTAAACAACTCAACTTTATAGCCTTAAAGAAAAGTGAACGGTCACAAGTTTTTGTTTTTATTTTTTTAATTCTTGTTTGAAATCAATATTTTGTCATTACTCTTGTCTTTCTTATTTCGCATCATCAAAAACTCATAAAAAAATCTCAAACAACAATATTAAGAGTGACTTCCTGTGAGACCATCTTATATGTAAGATGGATTAGGTTAATATGAAAATGTACTCCGTATTATTTATACGGAAAATGTAATACTAATCTCAATAAAGTATTTGTTAGGAATAATATAATACTTTTAAAAAATGTAATACTTTTAAATCAAAATGTAAAAGTATTACACTTTCACTTATAAGTAATAAATACTTTATTCATAATTAATATTACAATTTTCAATTTTCAGGTATAAGTATTTTCATTTTCATATTAACACGATTTATCACTTAAACAAATATATATGAGAAGGATTTACACATAAGTGTTGTTGCTCTTATACAGCTATACTCTGTAATAATACTTTAAGTCAATAAATTTAAAAGGAAAAAATTAAACCCAAAAAAAAAATAAAAAAGTAAAAATCTAGTTGGTGGTGCGTCGGAGCCGCGAGTTGAAACTTTAATGGACGTTAACTCGTAGTCATTTAAGAGTCTGCCCCTAATCATTGGATGTGTACTGTGAGATTTTTTATTTTTTTTTTTTTATTTTAGAAAAGAAAATCATATTTGAATTATTATTATTTTATATAAATTAGAAAATATATAAAAGTTAAGTAAATGTAAAGCACCCTTACTATGGGATGTAGGGGTGTAAACGAGCCGAGCTCGAGCCTGGGTAGTCATCCAGTCATGTCGAAACTATAGTGACCTATTATTATAAGTCATTAACCGGTTTTAGAACTTCAATACATAAAAATAGCATGTTCATGAATTTAATTACAACTTTTAAAAGTTCAAGGGGCTAATTGACTTCGTGTAAAATTTAGGAACTTGTTTGTGCAAAATTTAGGAACTTCTTTGACCCTTTTTCCTATAATTGATGTCATTTTATATTTGATCGTGAGCTTCTTCTTCTTCTTCTTTTTTTTTTTTTTAAATGTATTTTGCGCAATTGAATTATATATCATTCAATATATTCTCATAAGCTTCATAATTCATATATATAAGATATAACCAACCAGATCCAACCAACACGCCCTCCTCCCACCATTAATAGCTAACCATAATTGATGTGTTCAAGTGTTACGTTCAACATCAGATCACATGGAATACCAAGCAAGCATACCGAATCATGCATTAAAACTAAAGAAATATAGATTGTTCAGATCAGATCCAATAACATAAATACCCAAAACGTACAAGCCATTAAAATTGTTAGGACTCTATTATTGTATTGTATTAGAACTCTATTTCTATACTTGTATTTATGTACAACTCTGTGTTAATATTATTCTAGATTTTCAGGTTCTCCTATGACAATTGGGTCTGGCATTACAAGACAACTTTGTTGGAGTCTTCTCCGAACAAACTGTTTCAGAAACTGTTGATCAGGCTTTGTTACACTTAGATTTAAATTAAAATAAAATCAATGTAGTGTTTGGTGTGCCCTTTGGATTCTTTCCTTTGGCGTACCAAAAAAATAAATAAATAAATAAAAAAAGAGTAAGATGAAAATGTGTAAGTAATATTACAGAAATGGGTATACTTTTTTTAAGAAAAGCGAAAAAAATGAAGAAGTAACATGCATGGGGTGGGGCAACAAATTAAATTAGCACCACAACAGACACGCCGCTTTTAACGCATCCATCTATCGTGATGGCAATTAAGGACTTTTCCCGCCGTTCCCTCCCGTTTTCACGCCCCGAAATCCGCACTTTTTTCCTCTTTTGCTCCCCCTTTCATATCCCCGGCAACAAACTCTTATATATACCCCGGCCCCTTTCTCACTCTGCTCTTAGTATACTTAATTAAAGCTTCAATTCACAGTCAAATATATCCATATCCAGCTTCTAGAGAACGGAAATGGCGGCAGCACGAGTCCACTCAACCACTTCCTTTCTTCTCCTCTCACTCTTCTTAGTCTTGATTACTTTCTCCAGTTTCGCTCAAGTAATTATCAGATCAGATCAGATCACCTTTTATTATTTTATTTATTGGTTTGACATTAATTAACTGAGTTGAGTATTGATATTAACGTAAATTACGTACATTGATTTTCTGAACAGGGTTACAACAGGCTTCGGCCAAAAGGTACAAATTCGATCTGTCTTTAATTTCTACAGATAATTACAGTGTGTAGATTCATTATTATTGTATCTGATCGATGATCGAAAGCGTCTGAATATAATGATTTGAGTTTTTGTGGTGATGGATGAACAGATTGTAAGCCGAGATGCACTTACCGTTGCTCGGCGACGTCGCATAAGAAGCCGTGCATGTTCTTCTGCCAGAAATGCTGCGCCACCTGCCTCTGCGTTCCTCCGGGGACTTACGGCAACAAGCAGACCTGTCCTTGCTACAACAACTGGAAGACTCAGGAAGGCCGTCCAAAATGCCCTTAATTCAATCATCATCTATAATCTATTCAACCCTATCCTAGCTAATATACCCAGCCGCTGCTTATACTACTATACCTATTACTATATGTCTAGGCTTCCTCTGGATCGGATCGGATCGTTTGTTTCACTGTATCCGATCCATGTATGCTTGATTTAGTAGTTTTGTTCTATTGTGTCATGTTTTGTATGCTTGGGAGGAGTTCGTTGTTGCCACATTGCACTCGACTTTCCATGATTTCGAATTTGCTTTTCCATGAAGTTAAGGGAGAAAGGCAAAAGTTATATGCATAAATAGTTTTATTTGTTTGTTTTTCTAATAAAAACAAAAATATGAAGTTGCTTCATAATCTTAATTGGATTGTCGTAATTGCTAACGGTACGGTGTATAGTACATGAAGTGATATATTTATTGCTATAATCCACATGACGAAAAGTTAAGAATTGTGCAATCAATGGCATAATTTTGAAGACAAAATCTAACATTAGATTGTTTCAATGTATTCTTCTTGACCATTTGGTCTGTCATCTTGCCACTGCTGCAACAGTCGAAGTGTCAGGGACTTTTCTAATAGCAGTTTGTTATAAATTAAATTCTTCAAGAAGCTGTTATTCATTAGATGTCTTTTCTTATTTCAAGATTTCAAAGAATTTTAGAAATCAAATTCTTCAAGGTGTTATTTATTTAATGTCTTTCCGGAATCATTAACTCTACACGCCATTATATTCTTCCTACAATTTCTAATCTAATTAAGGCTCTGTTTGACAAACCTAGCTGAAAATATAAGCTAAGAGCTGAAAGTTGAAAAGCTGAGCTGTTGATAAAATTAGCTTTTTGATAAGCTGATAAATGTAAAAAAAAAACTAAAAAGGACATCTTCATAAAATTTAAATTAGTTTGTTTAATGTTAAATAACATTTTATCTTTAAAAAAATTAACATTTTGAAATAAAACTATTAGCATAATCCTGATCTAGCATCTTATAATGAAGTAGCAATATTGTTGCAAATAATAATAATAATAATAATAATAATAATAATAATTGCAGTGAAAGTTGCGAAGATAAAGAAAAAAAGGGTTTTAATTGAGAAGGGTAAATTAGGGTTTTAATTGAGAAGGGTAAATTATGTTACATAATGTAGCGTTTCAAAATAAGCTCTTATTTTAAGCTAGGAGCAAAGCTTATTTCGAGAACATTACCAAACAAGCGTTTCAAAATAAGCTCTTATTTTAAGCTAGGAGCAAAGCTTATTTCGAGAACATTACCAAACAAGCGTTTCAAAATAAGCGACATTACCAAAATAAGCGACATTACCAAACAAGCGTTTCAAAATAAACTCTAAGTTTATAGCTTATTAGTAGTTTAAAATAAACTATAAGCTCCTAAATAAGCTCGACATTATCAAACAAAGCTTATAGCTTAAATAAGCTCGGCCAAACAGAGCACTTGTAATAAAGTCAATAGTACTAAAAAAAAAAAAAAAAAAAGCCTAAACCCAATTGACCCCATTTCCAAAATGATATATTTGGTAGAAAACACAGTTCACAGATAGAGTTGAAGATGGTCTTACAATTATGATTGTTGCTGCTATTTTTCTTCAGTAATGAAGCCTAGAGATGGCAGGTCCAGATGAGGGAGATCGGGGATCTTAATGGCATCCACACCCTGCTCCTGTTTTCCGGTGGCCGGATTTTCGTCTTCCGTAACATTATTGATGAGAATGGGTTTATCCGGGCGTTTGAACATCCCGGCGATAAAACCGCCCAACGATCTGAATGGATTGTTCAATCCATCTTTTAGTTTGAGGATGAGGGACACCTCTGATAGCTGCCATGTTAGAGTGAGCACTATCATAGCTGATACCAGGCAGTGGGTCACAAAGTTTTGTCTCTGTATTTTCTTCAGCTCTTTAATCACCCTATCATCATCTTCTTCTTTTCCAGCTTCAGAACCACTGCTACCCTTGCCGGCCGTCTGCCCTTGATCAGATTCTAGTTCATCAGCAGCCGTGACATTGACGCCGCCGTCGGTGTTTCGATGGGGAGATTTTCCGGTCATTAATTCACAGTCCTCCATCATAATAATCTTGTTCATTCGTTTCAATTCCTGTAAGAATTCCAGTTTCGATCTCCAACTTAATTTGATTCCATACCCTTTTTGTGTTGTAATTTTCGATGCCGCTAGCGTCGAGTTTGAATCGACCACGCAAAAGAGCGGTTTGTGATAAGGAATGGGTCAATGGGCGATGTAAATATATCAGAATCAAAACAAAATGGGCAAATAGTGATGTGTCCATTTCGCATCAGACTGTAGGCTCACCCAACCAATCAAAGTGAGGCATGTAATATTCATTTTTTGTTTTATAACTAGATTAATTATATCCTGAATCTCATAAACCAGTTCTAAACTTATGAAGCGGTAAATCTAGGCATTTTTTGTTACTAAGCTATGCATTCTTCATCATTGTTTGATCTTCAACGTTAAGAGTTGTCCAAGCCACCAATTTGCCTTGAGAGAAGATCTCCAACCTTAAAATAGAAGGATTGGTGATTGTCTTTGGAAGACTATGATTCTTGAAGATTTGGAGAACATTTAATTAATGACTTTTGCTCATGAGTATAACTCAATAATTTTAGGTTAATCAACTTATTCCATCGCAATTTGCCTGTTGTCGATCACTGAGATGGTAGGTGTTCAAAAGTTGCTATTTTTGCTTTTAATTTTTATGCTACAGGTAATTGACTTTTGGACTTTTTAAAATGTCTTTTAGGTGAAAGGAATAATTATATATGTTCCAAAAATAGGTATGTGTTTTATATGAACATATTTGGGTGTTAGAGTCCCTTAGACCATCATTATCAGTTGGGAAGAATGTGGAGAGAATGTAAGAGTGATTGGGAAAGAGAAGGTGGGAGGTAGGAGAAAAAAAAAAATCAAAACTGAATTTTTTAAATTAAAAAAAGGTGTATGTCAGGCGCGCCGAACAGTGCGCCTGACGCACAACCGGGCCCGTGTTGTGCGCTAAACGCGCACAACGTTTCCTTTTTCCCTTTTTTTTTTTTTTTTTATAACTTTTATGACATTATTTTGTATGTTGCAGACCAATTCTTTTCCAAATCTTTCACTCCTACATCAACTTTGCTCTTCAACATGAGAGAATTCAATCTGAAATATCTTGACATTCTTCATTGGTGTGGATGCTCTTAAGAGATGTGTTCAATAGCCATTTTTCATAAAGGACAGACATATATTCCTTGTACTAACATATGTCAATGGTACTACTATTGAAAGCTCTTGAATCTATTGTCCTCTTCAGAAGATCTATTGTACTATGAATAAGCTAGTTCATGTATGTTCTAAGCTAAGTGTTATCAGATAATAGAATAATGTTTATTAGACGACCTTAATTCATGAATGATAGTGGTCTGCTATTGATAGCTTATAGCAAAGCTTGGATTTGTCGGACTAACAATCAAAATCTACTAAAATCCTTCTAAGTGATTTGCAAAATAACATCTTTCGATAATAGATTCTACCATACACTTTGATGTGTTGAACCATAATCTTCCGGGCAAAATTTGCATTAAAATAATGATTAATAAAAGAGTTAAGTCCTATTTTGGACTTCACAAGAAGTCTAATTAACAATGATAGATTATATACAATTAGAGAAGTTAAATTTCTTAACTTACGCGAGTACAGTTAACATAATCAAAATATAATAAAGAATAATTCCTAACAAAATGAGTTTTAATAAATAAAAAGAATACAAAATTTTTACATAAAATTGAACTAAGGAGTTCTAGTATATTGGTTGTGCTGCCACATATACATATACACGCTCTCTTAGAAGCCCATAATAGAAACTTATTTTGATAAAGAAGATGAAATAAAAAAAAAAATGGGAGAAAGGGTAGCTTTGGATGGTATGTAGTAGCTCTAGAAGAGAGAATCTGACTCTTAAATATTTGATAATTGTAATAGGTTTTGGTGAAAGTATTTTGCATGTTTGGTCATGTATGACCCTATAATGAGAATAAAAATTTTAAAAATAAAAAAATAAAAAATTAAAGGCAATTGATCCTAATATAATAAAATTCAAAGCACCAATATGAACAAAAATAAATTAAAATAAAAATCTAAAAACACTAATCCAAACTTAAAACTCATATTACCAATGAGGTGGAATGATAGCCTTTTTAAGTAAGGGATAAGATTTTTAATTGAAGGGATAATTAAATTATATAGTTGTGCTTTAAAAAGTTGTCAACCAAACACTAATTATGATTTTGATTATATTATCAATTCCTGGTGTGTAAACCCATGAACCAACACGCCATTATAATCTTTGAAACTTTTAATTTATAGTGTGCTAATTAAGTTGACTTAGCTTGGCATAATGTGCTTTCTTTTCCACTTGTTTGTACAAATTATTGGAAAACAATATGTAATCTTGTTTAGGATGTTTAATCTAATAATCTAATATAATTGCCATATCCCACATATTCATAGGTTAATAAGTCATCAAATATTCCTTTTATATTCACATTACAAAACATCGTTCTCTCTTTGTTTGTAGTACTACGTAGTCAGTGAAACATAGTACGTACTATGAATTAAAGCTTGGAGTAATTAAGAGAGTTACTGATGAAGGGAAGTTGGCCAACTGAAAGAAAGACCCATTGAAAGTCACAACTGCCAGAAAACATTACATTCATTGCATGCCCTGATACCTCACAAAATCTCAACAATTCTTCAAATCCTCACTCACCTACTATGTTAAAACTTGGAGAAAAGGGCATGACTATGAAACGGATGCAAGAAGATCACCATTACAAGCTAGCTCTGCTAGCTTCTGTTGATAGATTTATCTATAAAATCTGCACCTTTAAGGCTTTAACATAACAATCCAGAAAACAAAAAAAATGGCACTTTTAAGACCAGTAGTTGTAGCAGTTTTAAGTGTTGTTTCAGTACTGCTAATATTGCCGTCTTCTGCTGCTGCAGCATCATCAGCTGTGACGTATGTGTTCGGGGACTCGCTCACAGAAGTGGGAAACAACAACTTTCTGCAATCTCTCGCCAAATCGAACTTCCCTTTCTATGGAATTGACTATAAGGGAGGAGTTGCTACTGGGAGATTCACCAATGGAAGGACTATTGGTGATATAATATGTAATGAAAGTTAAATTATATTCTAATTTCTTTCTTTCTTTCTTTCTTTCTTCCCCATCTGATCTGCAGTACTAATTAATGTGCTTTTCTTTTTAATAGCTGAAAAGCTTGGGATTCCATCGCCCCCGCCATACTTGTCATTGGGGCCGAACGACGAGGCACACTTGAAGGGAGTGAACTATGCATCTGGTGGAGCTGGAATACTCAATGATACTGGACTTTATTTTGTAATTAATCTATCTGTCTCTGTTTTGCTTTATTTACTTCAACTTTTTTGTAGATTATGCTTCTTATGCTATATATATATATATAACAGATTCAGAGACTGACATTCGACGATCAGATAAAGTACTTCGAGAAAACTAAGGAAGTGATCAAGGCCAGACTGGGAAATGAGTCTGCAGAAAAGCATTGCAATGAAGCACTTTACTTCATCGGACTTGGCAGCAATGACTACGTTAACAACTTCTTGCAGCCGTTTCTAGCAGACGGCCAGCAATACACTCACGACGAATTCGTGGAGCTTTTGATGACAACCTTAGGCCAACAGCTCACTGTATATATGTTCATCATGAGACATTATATTATATATATTTCTTCATATATAGTGCAGTCCAACCAAATTAAAGTTTGTTGATTTTGTTGTAACAGAGGCTTCATGAACTGGGAGCGAGAAAAGTAATATTCCATGGTCTGGGGCCGCTGGGATGCATTCCATCCCAAAGGGTGAAATCAAGGAACAGAGAGTGTTTGAAGCAAGTAAATCTATGGGTTCAGAACTTTAACTCCAGAGTCCAACATCTTTTGGGCGATCTAAATAAGCGTCTCCCACATGCACAAATGACGTTTGCAGACACTTATAAAGACGTCTTGGATCTAATCGAGAACCCCTCCACCTATGGTAAACCATATATATATATATCGTTAGGATTATGCAACACAAATTTTGATTTTTTTTAGTCACAATGGAAATACACTTGTTGTCTATAGCTGACCAGCTCAGATTAAGAAGGCTGGTTGTCCATAACTGACAAAGCTTATATAAGAAGGCCAATTGGCCACTTCCATTGTAGTTTGGACTTGTAACTTTGTGATTACCAAGTCAATAGTCCGACCAACTTGGCTGGATGTTTGGTCCCATCTTTGAATTTATTATTATTGTTGTTGTTGTTTGAAGGTTTTAAGATATCGAATACGTCGTGCTGCAATGTGGACACGAGCGTGGGAGGGCTATGTCTGCCCAACTCAAGGCTGTGCAAGAATCGAACAGAATATGTGTTCTGGGATGCGTTTCATCCTTCAGATGCTGCAAACGCCGTGCTGGCGGCCAAGATATTTGCCTCCCTTCACACTAGTGACGCCAATGCTCCTTCCCCTGCCGCAGCTCCGGCGCCGGCGCCTTCTGCTGGCCGCCGTCGACTGCTTAAGGTTACATGACCGGTGGTGGAAAGTGTTCAAGAATATAATGTAAACTGAAGGTGTGATGAGTATAACTCAAAGAAACAAGGGGGGTGTGATTTTTGCATTTGTTAAAGGAAAGAAACTTAGATGGATTTACCTGTTTTTCTTTTCGATACATACGATGATCGGATGATGTGGGAACTGAGAATTTGAATGAAACATCATATAATTGTGCTGATTAAAATCATTTTCAGGACCAAATGTAATACAAATTAAATAGTCATGCATTTAATTTGAAAATGTTAATAATCAAGAATTAAATGTGATACAAATTGAATAGTGATGCATCTAATTTGAAAATTTTAATAGTCAATGACTAAAATTGATACATGTATTATAGTCTGAGAGACTAAAAATGACATTTTCTCTTAACTAAACAAAATTATTTGAATTACTAGGCGTATGAATATATATATATATATATATATATATATATATATATATAAAATGAATAAATTATAAAATAATATATATTGGTACAATAGCTCTCCTTTCGATTTTCCGCTAGCTTTTCAAATCAAGCCTGATGTGGAACTTGTTTCTTCTTGCTCTTCACCAACCAATTCAATCAAATTAAATTTCCATATCACAAAGAGAGATCAGGTAGTACTTTTCCATCTTGAAGGTAGGCCTTGTTGTGGATCAATCTACATTATATTTAGTTTTGTCAAAATAATTATTTTTTTATATTTATAAAAATGAAAGGAGAAGTAAGAATAAGATCGGAGAAAACATTTGACGTGTGTACATATAACTACCACATTTAATATCAACCAAACCCTTTATAAATATTCACCCAACATGTCATGTCTCATGCTAAGATAGTGCGCCATGTCATGAATAATATATAGATTACAAATTTACAATTATAATTATTCAGAGATGTACTACTCATGTACATTTAGATTATAATTTATAATAATTATAAAATACCATAATGATACTAATATAAACATTACTATAGCAAAATATATGGATATTTATTGTATTATATTTTAGAGAGGATGAGATGATGAACTAATAGTAATAGTAATAGTAATAATAATAATATACCTATGCTTGCGCTTCTCCAGAAATCTTGCCAAAGTTGCTTTGCGAGCCATAGCTATTGCTGCATATATATTATATATATATATTGATGTCTTTGTTAAAATTTCATAATTTTTAAATATTATTTTTGGAATGAAAAAAAAAAAAAACAATAAAATTAGAAGTAATATATGTATAGTTATGTATGTACCTCCTGGAGCAAAGTTTTGATAAAAACTCCCTGAAGACGAGGATGGCGCTGTGGTGGTTTCATCTGTGGCATAAACAAAACTTGGATTTTCATTCCATCTCTTTTCTTCAATTTCTTCACTTCCAGCCATGCCCAGAACTAGCTCTACCTATATATTTTTCAACATTATTTATATCATAGTTTCAGACCCAACAAAAAAATTTGTAAAATTTTTATTGTTGTAATCAAATTTTGTTACGTGGTTTAAAAAAATAAAATTGTTACGTATGTATGTCAAAGTTTAAGGTGGGTTTACTTTCTGAAAAATAGAAAACGGATCCAAATTAAATATGAAATACTCCTAACTATAACTTGGTTTAGTCATGGAATGACATCATCCCATGCCATAGTCATAATTGATTACTCATAATATCATCATAAACAATAAATAAAGGATAAATTTGTGACAATAATTATGCTCATACTTCATTAATTTAACAACTAATTGGTGAATCTAAGAGGTGAGAGAAAGGATTTTGGACCTTTTCTGGCGATATGTCGTGAAAAGCAGAAACACTACCGGAATAAAAAATGGTCATTGTTGAAGGGGCAAGCTGATGACTTGGGATCTCACACCTCTTCCTATATGTACATATATATATGAATTAATAAATAGATAAATAAATATATTTTAATCAAATTATATTACATATATCCTCAGATTCTTCAATTCCATTGGGATAGCATGCATTCTATGGGGTATTTCAATATCTAATTAATTATATCTAGGAAAATACCAATATTATATTGGTTGTGTTTCACAATTACATATATTCATTCATCACATGCAAATAAATTGATTTAACATGCATTATCATTTTATTTTTAATACTATATTTATCATTAGTAAAACATGAATGCTTAAACTTAGTTGACCACCACACACTTCACGTTTATGGGTCGATTACTTTTTGATGGGCTCCGAACAACACGTGAACCATAATAAACATGTGTTTTATTTCAACTACAAGGCTAAAGATGACAATTGGAGTGCACATTTATGTTTATATATTATATATTGTCAACAAAAACAATGTAAGAGAGTTAATTAAAGTTTTTAGATTAAAAATAATAATGTGCACAACTTCCTCTTTTTTATTTTATATGTTATATTTACTACTCAAATTGACTTCTCTTTTTTCTTTTCGAATATTTTCTTTAATACTAAATGTATTTAAAACAAATTTAAAGAATTAAATAAAACTTTTAAGCTAAGAAATGTCTACAATTATGTTTTTTTTTTTCCTGTAGGGTAACTATCAGTCTATCAGCATGTGATACAATACTTAGTACACCATACATTATTCTATCTAATATTTAAAAAAAAAAATTAATGAAACTTTTTCATATATAAATTTTTTATTAATATAAAATTAAATATTATAAAAATGTGAATAATAAATTATGAAACCAGACTTTTTTTTTTTTTTGAACATGAAACCAGACATATAAAGTACAGAAGAAGTCAGATTATTATTAATAATTAATACGTACCATGAAGAAGTTGGAAGAAGGGGAAGTGTTTCCAGGGCAGAATCGTCTCCATAATTTAGTGGAATCGCCGCACCAAAGCCACGCGGGAAGCAATTAACGTCATTGGTCGCCGGAGTTCCGTCTGAAGCGGTGGTCGGAGACGCTCCTCTGAACGGCTGTAAGTCCCCAAACACGAGATTCTTCGCCGGAACTGAGTATGTCGACGGTGGTGATAAAGGAGGAGGAAGCACACATGGAAATGGTCCAAATGGCTGCCATTTCTGCTTAGCGGAAACTGTGCAAAGAAACAGTCAAAATTTATTCAGAAATCTTTTCACAAAGAAGAAGAAGAAGAAGAAGAAGGTATGATATATATATATATATATATATATATATATATATATATATATATATATATACCTGCAGGAATAGGAATTTTGGGGTGAAATTCCTTGTTGAGGTCAATCTGCAATTTCTTGCACTTTTTAGAACGCTGTTTCTTCTCCATCTGGATCGATGGATGGACGTATATTTAATTTGTTTCAGAAGATTAGAGGTATTGAAGGAAGATGAGAAAGAAGAGTGAGCGAACTGAAGATCAGAGCTCATCCATCAACGCAGAATTATTGAATATCCACATTTCTGAAAACACCAGTAGACAAGATAATGCGCCGACAATTATTATTAGAAAGAGAAAATTTAAAATTAAAATAACCCTCGTGCAAAGACACGTTTCGTTACACGTGATTCAATTTCAAAAAAAAAATATAGTTTGTAGAACATTAATAACATCAGTTATAATATTGTGTATTCTGTAAAATTATAATGTACAAATTATATTATTCTCTCTTATGTGCATCTGCCAAAGTATAGTATGTAACTTTATAAAATATACAACATTTTAAGAATATTCAAAATTAATAGTGCATACCTTCTCAAGCTTGTCCCAAATATATTAACCATTTGACTTAATAAACAAATTTATGAAAGTCAAGCATCTTGTGCTCAGATGGCATGTAGTGACTTCTTTCATGTGGAAGGTCATGAGATTGAGCTTCTATGGAGGCCCTGGAAAATAAGGTTTAATATCATCCAGATCAGATTAAGGGTTCAGAATGAAGACAATTCTCTCATTAGTATTTTTATATCCATAGCAACTATGCATTATATGTGATTCTAATGCAATTAAAATAAAATATATGATTTTATCTAATACAAAATATGATGATACTGTTTAACACGGTAAAATTTTGCATGTAAGTACGTAAATGTTTTATGAAAAATATATGATAGACGTTGTATAAAGTATGGTTGGTTGGCAGATTGACAGGTATACAGAGCTTAGAGATGAGGAGAGATGGGGACCAAACGTTTAGGATAATCCAAAAGCCAACTGCAGAAAACTGTAAAATTGTAAGGTCTACAACTAACCCCACCATTGTGAAATGGTACAAAAGGATTTGAGCCCCATACTTCAATTCAATTTATAAACTATAAAATGGAAGATATGATCGATGATGCTTTATTTGGCAATGGGACCACCAATCCAACTCACATCTATCATTGCCACTTGCCACCCAACCAAATTCTTTTTAAATTAAATAAATATATTTTAGAATATGCAATCATGTTCAATGTGTTCAAATTAAATGGTACGGTAATTGATTAAATATGACATTATTATGATAATTGAATGATTAAAAGTTAAATTAAGATACCTAATACGATGGGGTCGGACTTGAAGAAACAGACAATTGTTGCAATTCCAGATCACATTCTGCCTACAAGCAATCCTCTACGCAATATTGTTCCCAACAGGTTGAATCTCTAACTTTAATTGACTAAAGTTAATGTTAAATTTCATATTATATTTTTTTAATACATTCTAGCTAACATATTCATAGTATATGGAATGAAATTCGAACTTAAGACTTTCCTTATGAAAATAAATAAGTTAAGAATAATAAATAGTTAACGAGATATTCTGTTTCTAAAGTTTACACTAACAGAATGCATGGATATTTAGGAAAAGTAAATGTTATAATAGAGGGTAAAATAGGAAAAAAAAACTAAAATCAAAATAATATAAAACATTCATTTCAACAAACAATTGAACCAATATTTTTTAATTTTTGTTATAGGCTTAATTTTATTGATTCTTATTAGAGTAGATAGATGTTACTTAAAAAGATTATGCATGTACCATGTTGGACACAAAACATTATTTTTACGTATTATGGTGATTGCGATCATTATAAAATAAATAAATAAATAAATAGATAGATAAATAAATAAAAGGTACAGTGCTTATATAATGTGTGAAAAGTAGTCGATTGAAGAAGAAAAAATTACATATTTTATGGAATTTCTATAAAGTGAATGGTCCCATAAATGGATTTGACAAGATATGTATATCATATTTTACTTATCAAAAACGCATGTGCTCATACTTAATTTAGAAGGTGAAAATGTATATATGGACATATGGTGCCAGGGGCCATCATATCATGTGGGCAAAGTAAATGTGTCGGCCACAGGGAAAGAAACGTCTCATCCGTTTCATTAATTATTACTTTGCTTGCTCAATTAATATTCTATAAAAACATCATCAAATTTTGCACTCTGGATCGTGCATATAATAAAATAATATTTTAATTTGATCATTTTGTACTTTGATGTATAAAATTCAAAAAATTTCTTTATCGATAGCCTTGCAACATGGATCACAGATAAATATTTATTTTTTAAAAGATATTTTAAATGTATTAAAAGTCTATTGTATAGTAATATACCTAAAAAGAGTCGTTCAATACATAAAAATGAATCTTCTACAAAAAAAAATATTCAATAATAAAAATAAACATTTAATATACTAATAATGAACCTTAACAAGCAATCATTATTGTATGGACCATGGTCCACACAAACTGTGGTAGATTTTGTATGTTATAAAATAATGTACTTTTAGTATATTAAATATTAATAATATACATTGTATTCAGGGAAATGACATTATTTAAGTATTGAAAGTACATTATTTTATATAATGTATATTCAATACACAAATAATGTACATCTGGTATATTAAAAATGTACTTTTTGTTATAGTCCACACAGCACTGAATTTGCCCTTAACAAGCCTGTCATCCACTCATCCAGCCCAACTTTCTTGAAATTTTGGGTTGATCTAACACCTTTCTAAGAGAGGCATTAAATTACACAAAGTGACAAACACATCAAGCCCAACTTGTTTGAAATTTTGGTTGATCTAACAACTTGCAAGAGACAAGGCATTAAACACAAAGTGACAAGCAGGAATCCGCCAGGATGATTATATATTAGGTTAAGAATTGAAGAAGATACAACAAGCAATAACAAGTAGTTTTAATGTAGGCTGCCACTGCATGATCCATATTAATGTCGGTCCATCTGATAGAACAAACATTTTCTATATAAGGAATCACACATTAAAGGAATCTAACTAATGCAAGAAAAAATAGCAATAATCTTCCCATATACCTTTAGCTTGTAGAAAAAGAACGAACACAACCATCATAGGTGAACTCTATTAGAAACTAGAATTCAATTCATTAAGGCAAGGAGAAATCAACATTTTGATTCCTTAATTGTTTTTCAACTGTCTTTTAGAGTTTTCGATTTCATCTAATTTGATCATTGAATTGTTTAAACTTTCGTCAATTAAACACTTTCAGGGATCAAATTGATGAAATTTTAAAAAAGTGAAAATCACCATTTGGTCCCTGAAAGGGTTTAATTGACGAAATTTTAAACAATTCAATGATTAAATTGGTTTAAATTAAAAACTAGAAACTACATTGACAATTAGAAAACATTTGAGGGATCAAATTGGTTATCAATGGGGTATTTCAATATCTAACTAATTATATTTTGAGTAAAGTACCAAAATGATCCCTTGACTATAGGGAAAGTACCAAAGTACCAAAGTATAACAATTGTTTGAAGGAATCCAAGATAATTATTAGGTTAAGAAGAAGATACAGCTTAACAAGCAATCGTTATATTGTGGACCAGGGTCCACATAATACAGATACACATAAACACAATATAATGAACATGAATTCTATGCATTATATAGCTGAGGTCACAAACACTTAACATAATGCACAGAATTCATGTTCATTATTATCGTGTTTATGTGTGTGTATTATGAACATGAATGATGTGCATTATGAACATAAATTCTATGCATTATGAAGTCAAATTCTGTGTATTGGATCAGGGTCCACAGTGCACTGTGAACCCTTGTCCACGATATAATTTGCCTATAACAAGTAGTTCTAATGTAGGCTGCACGATCCACATTAGTGTCGGCCCATGTCACAGAACAAACATTTTCTATACTAGTAATGATGGCAAATTATACCGTGGACCAAAGTCTACCTTGCATTGTAGACCCTAGTCCAAAATAACCTTCAAATTCTGTATCTAATTGACACATTATGTACATACCGTTGATAATTTACATGCGCAAAAATTGTTAACTGTAAGTACAAAATGTGTTAATGGAATGTATAGAATTTTTGTATCAGGATTCACAATGCAATATGAACCCTATTCCATGGTATAACAATTGAGTAATGACACATTAAAGGAGTTATAATGTAGGCTGCACGATCCACATTAGTTTAACCGACACATTAAAGGAATCTAACTAATGCAAGAAAAAGAGGCAATCTTCCCAGATACCTTAAGCTTGAAGAAAAAGAAGAAAACCATCTCATGTAACTGGTTTGCATACTCATAGAAACAGACATTTCAGACTATTGTTCTACCTGTTTGATCAATGAATGCACACAATTCATGCAAGATGTAAGAATCAACAAAGCAAATAAGAAACACTCAAGAGGCGCGACAAAAGTAGTTTACCATCAAGTCACAAATGTGTGATTATCAAACATTCTAAACCCAAAGACAAAAAAGAACAGACAGATCATTGAACACTCACATAAAACAGTATACATAGGTCAAATCTATTAGGAACTAGAATTCAATTGATCAAGGCAATAAGAAAAGAGCATGTCTGCATGTGTGCCCAAAATACACATTTTCTTTTATAAACCATAGCAAAAACTCAACAGTTAACGTTAAAGAAGGCGAAACAAAGTTTATTGCAAAATCATATAGTTCCAAAAACCAACAAGGACAACTGACAATATCAAATACACATTCTGGCACTTTCACTATTTCACATCATAACTTACTAATGTATATAAAAGATCACACCATTGTTGTCTGCAACATTTCTATACACCTGAATCAGTGACACCATTTAATTTATCATCATATTCATCAAATCATGGATTCCATGCTCAAGAGACTCCTATTTGAACATGATTTAACAAATGCTACACTACCAACTGTTACTACAAAGTATCCTAGACAAAGCAAGTGGCAGCTTCAGAATGAGCAATGCCAGAACACGAATTTTCTTCTTATGGGAAATGCATGCCAATTCTAGTTCATTATAGCATTAATTAAGGCACATAAGGTTAACAGCTGGATTTAGCCAATTCACAGTTTCTCAATTCTAACTGCATGTATCTTTCAAGCTTAACAACCAACTTAACATATGGCCAGTGAGAACCACAGAAAAAATATCATTCTGTTTTCAATTTTTCCTGCCACAACAAACCTTGAATCTAAAGGTAAGCTTAGCAAATTGAAAGCTATGCTTATGCTTAGCAATCATTCCCAATTTAGCATTTAGCAGCAATCAGCAATGCCATCAGAAACAACCATCAGAAACAATCCATAGGAAAAACATAAGGCCAAAAACAAAATATTAACATAGAAAACTAAGCTCGTTATACTATCATATTGTGGACATCATTGTAATTGACAAAATAAAAGAGTTCCAAAATTGGACAAGCAGCAATGGAAAGTAAGCCAAGTCAGTACACTTATCATATTCCATATAGCAAACAGGAACCAAAAGAGGGGCCAATCCGATCTGAAAATTGACCGATCCAACCATCAGATGTATCAATCAATCAATCAGTCGCGGTTCTTCAACTTCTCGATGCGATTGTTAAGCTGATCGATGCGGACGACGAGGCTGGTGACGGAGTATAGGAGCCAGTAGAAGATGAGAGCGGAGGCGATGAGGAGGGCGTTGCGCTGGGACTTCATGATGGATTTCTGGTGGCGGAGGTGCTCCGAGGGGGAGCAGGAATCGGATTCACAGGTTGGACGGTTCTCGTACTTCCAGTATATGTCCATCAACAGGAAGAGGCAAAAGGGGACGATCGACATGAAAGGCTTGAGCAGGTTCCGAGTAACGGTGATAAGACCCTTGCGTAGCGCATCGAGGCCCGGGAAGGTAAGCAGGAGCAGCATGACAGCCTCTGCTCCGGCAGCATAGCCTAGCACCACCCACTCCAACGCCATTGATAAATCTCCGATTTGACGTACAATCGCGTTTTCTCAGTAAAGTTGAAGACGAAGAAGGTATCGGAGACTGAGAGGCATATGTATTTATGTAGGGATTTCAGATTTAACAGACTGGCACCTCTTTTAACTTCCCTTTCTTTTCCCCCATTTTTATTTTATTTTTCTCTATAAACATAAATATTACATTATTACTCCATACTTGTATAAATACACAATTTTAGTACGTGTTGACATGGAAACCACAATATTACAAGTTTGATTAAGCCTTCTTAATTTAAATCGATTAACTATTGGCAACTTAAATTGCTTTACCTCTTTGTGATGGTATCGTCATTGTTCTATAACTAACAGTTAATCAGATTTAATGACGACTATAGGCAACCTAGTCTTGAAACCTGGAGTGTTTATTTCAAGCTAGTGGTTGATGTGAATAGCTATATATATATATGCAATGCAACATTCAATGTAGTGTATGGATAGAGAGCAAATTAAGGAGTTTAATTAATTAGTTCATGGCAGTTGTACTGAAAAGAAATTGTTTCCAATTCCAAAACACATTGGCAGCTCTTAGCTCTAAGTTGCAGTAATATAGGACATGGCTCGGCGGCTCCAATTATCAGAGAATGGAAGAAAAACTAGGGGGGTTTACCCCTACTACTCTCTACAAACTCCCATTTTCTTCAAGTTGGACTCCTTTTGAGCTCAATGCTGCTTCACTTACCTAACCTTCATACCTTTAAACATTTTGCCATTTAAATTACACATTACTTTACCTCATCTTCCTAGCTTAGATACACAAACTTCTACCCTTCTCTCATCAATCCGAGAAGACTGACTATGCTTCTTCTGCAGAAGTTGGTGGCGGAGGAGGTAGTATTTGTCCCCCACACCTCAACCGCATAAGCATCCCTTGGCTACGCTCCACGCCTGAAAATATGCCCGTTTTGCTCTGCCTGTTTTGCCTTGTTAGCCGGCTCGCTAGTGATTCCAAGGCCTCTACCATCCATCCCTGCTCGCAAACTTCCCTAGCTTCACTGATGCTTATCTGCAAAATTCGATTTATTTATTCATCAATTATTGGTTGTACAAGTTATGTGTGCACTTTACACCAAGTGACTATGCGTACCCAGTGTCTTTGACGGATTTTCTTCTCAGGCCAACAATCGAGTTGCTCTTTGACTAGCATGGGAAACATGTGCCCTTCACAGGCAATGCCACTTCTCTTGCTTCCAAAGCTCCATGTTCCCAGTTTACACTGCAATCCAATTCCCAGAAAGTAACATGGTTTATACTTTTTCAACACAAACACAAAGAACCGCTATCCAAGTTTGGCTAGAGAGATACACTCTCATTCTTCTTTGACAGATGCAATCTCATATAAAGGTTAAACAATAACGTTTTAATCTGATTTATAAAGTTGGGTTGAAAGCTAAGAAGCACAAAGAGATCATGGAATATACAAGGAAAAGGGAGATTAACCTCAATATCACCTAGCACCCCAGCTTCCTCGATAGTCTCTCGCAGTGCTGCAGCTTCAATTGTTTCATCTGCTTCCCAGCCTCCCTGGCATAACACACCCAGATTTTTAAGTAAACAGTGAAATTCCCCACATTGTTGCACAATATTCAGCGTTTTTGTTTTATATTAAGCACAACCATACATTGAGTTTACATTATTGATTACCTTGGGAAACAACATCCCTTTGCCTTTTCTCTGCGGACTAATGACAAGAACTTCAAAGGCATCCTCGTTCAACGGGGATGTGTCAATCCTATCCTTGTATCTGTAAGGGATACATCTGCACAGTCAGAAACAGAAGCTTAGAAACCCACAATATGATTTACAATAGATCGAATACTCTAAAACAATCAGTTAGAAAGGCTTAACTCCCAACCAAAATTACAATCAAGAAGATGAATATATCACATCTCTACCTTTTGATCTTCAACCCAGATCTTTTTTTTTTTTCTCTCAAGTTTCTAATTTGAATTGCAATTATTTCTAAAAGTACTCCAAAGTCAACGGTGCAGCTAAAAATTAAGTAAAAATGATGCTGCTAAAATCACAACTGTGAGACGTACCACTTGACAGCGATGCTCTATCTAATACCAATCTTTCATCTGGTTGTGCTAACGTCCACGCAATTTCTCCAATTATGAATCCAAGAAACTATCCTAATTTACTTATCTTTAAAATACGCCATGGAAAGTTAAGGTGATGATAAGTACACAAAGGCTTAAGAAGAGTAATTAATCTTTTCTTCCCATAAATCTTTGAAGATGACAAAGCTATACTGCATACAAGTATTCAATCAGAAATCTTCTAAGCCATACCAGTAACCAGAACATTATGAGGACGAAAATGAGCAGAAATACTCTCAACTATGGCATTAATCTGGAACTGGGAAGTAAAAATTAGACCCCAATGTTCAATCACAAGTCAACCCTTCTTACGCGAGAAATAAAAACAGATAAAAGAAAACAGAAAATCTCTACATGGCTGTTTACATTCATAATCACCCAAACAGCATAATTACAAACCAACAAATTTCTAGTTTTGTTTATGGGGAACGAAGAGAAGAAATACCCGACGACTTGACGGCGACCGTTGTCGTAACGCTGCAAATGCCGGCCGGTACGTGAAACCAAAGCGACCATGTTTTCCAATTCCATGTGACTCTGTCTGAGTTGTCTGACAAACTGCGAAAATTAAATAAATAAAAGAAGAGGAATTTACAGAAAGAAGGAAAACAGAGGGGAATGTGAACTGCGAAAAACCCTCTCAAAAACGAAAGGAGAAAGCGAAAATTGGAGGGGAAAGAGAGAACCACGGGCTTTGGGTTCTCTGCTTTCTTCTTATCAGAATGGAAGAAACCGTTAAAGGCAATTTTTCAATTTTGTAACCGACGTTAATGAAGGTGCCTAACCAGTAACCACGTGCGTTACGGTGTTTTATCCTTTTACATTTTTATTTAGTGGTGGGTCAAGTGGTTTATTTAGTCTATCCCAATGATAATAAACGTTATTACTTTTTTTTTTTAATGCTATTGACTCTATTACATTGTAATATCTGTTCAAATATATTTTTTCAACTTAATGAAGTACAAAGAGTCAACAACGCTTCTATTGAGTCAATAAGTTTGTAATCAATATAACTTTAAAAGTGGGAATGATGATTAATCTTGATACGGACTTAAAAGGCGACTTCTACCGTTAAGGTCTACTCAGACACATCGACACATCTGACAAAAAGAAAAAAAAGAAAAAGAAAAAAAAAAGAAACTAAAATGACAAATAAGGGAATAATCTGGATTCGGCTTCTACGAGTGACAATTCCCCTTAGATGAGACACCTTTGTGTTAAACTTGGATCTTGTGTAAGCATTCTTGCCAAAGTCTTCTATTCCACTTTGGTTTCTTCTTTCTTGTTTATGTGGACCTTGTCATTTCACACATTACAAATTAGAATAATTCTAGAAAAAAGAATTACAAATTTAATTTCTACCCATAACTTTATTTTAAGAATACGAGGTGGAACATAATTTTAAAATATTATACCAGGTGAATTGAATATCAAAACTAAAATGGTATACATACGGAGGATTTGTAAACAATGTAAAAGAAAAGGTGAAAATCATGTCTCAAATGTGCAGTGCGTACTGTATGTCTGTATGTAGCAAACCTTTCCATGAACAGGACTTCTTTTAATAGATTATTAATTATGACCTTCTCTTGCTAGGAACTAAAATAATTGTGTGGGGGCAGGACTAATTGATTGGAGCAACTATGATTGCGCTTAATTCAATTCAACTAAAATAATTATTATTATTTTTTTCAAAGGTATCCCTCCTGCCGATAGTCAGAAGACTAATCCTCCATACTAACGGTCAGCATACTAAGTGGTAGAGGATTGATCAAATGGTTTGCTTCATTCACATTGGAGCCCCAACCTCATGCTTAAGGGACGAGGTGCTGAACCACCATGCCAACTATGTTGGTTAAAATAATTATGTTTTTTAAGTGTACAAATAAATGCATGATCTTTATTTAGTTTTCTAATAGCATAAATTAGACCATGAATGGGGGTTTGAAGTTACACTACCTAACAAAGATTATGAGATGATAATGTATTATTAAGTGGACTACAAGTCTTGTAAATGTTATACTTTTTATTTAGGTTATTGTTGGTTTAATTATTGGCAAAAATATAGTCTATAAGAAGTGTTATATCTTAAATTAGGTGTTTGTACTTGGTTGTGGTATTACATAGCTAGAATAAAAGGTTTTGTGAGTATTGGTTGCAATAGGAAACTCAAGGTACAGATGTTGTGACAAAGACACTGTTAAGATTCAAATACGAAGGAATTAGGAATTCGTTGAAGATCGAGAATATTCTAAAAGGTGTTCTAATAACAAAATTCTGTCGTTACATGATTAATATCCTATTTAGTCTGGAATTTAGGAGAAAAAATGTAGAGTGCCTAGTTATCATAAACACGTCTCTAACGTTTTCTCTCTCTAAGTTAATAGAGATCACAATTCACAAGTCTCATATGAAACTTTGAGTCTAAATTTGCAAAAGACTTGTGGTGATTATTGTCTTGGTTCAAGACGTATTTGGGTGTTGCAATGACTCGCATGGAGGGACACTTCGTGGCGGCATTGTTGGAGGGGGGTCTTAAGTCGACGGTGGAGTTGATTGACATCAATCCACGAGCTAGTCAAGGTTCATGATGCTCTTACATGAATCTGATGGATTCTTGGTATTGTCTTTACCTCACCATTTTGTAATTTGTACTTGAAAAAGTGATAGTGGTTCAGGCCTTTACCGAGTTGGGAGCCTTGTAGATGTAGAAGTGGTTACTTCGAACTGCATAAACACATGTGCTCTTTATATATATATATATATATATATATATATATATATATATATATATATATTAGACTATATGATTCTACTTCTAGATCAACAGTTCAACACTAACTAGTACTGAGCACTTGGAACTCTCTAAATAACTACAACAAGAGTACATGTGGATTAGTGTGTGGAAGATAATAGGCAAAGGCACACTTCCCTCTACTCTCTAGGCTTGTTCTATTGGGTATTACTCTGTAGATTATTGTGTCAATTAAACTTTATTATTTTTTTTTCAACTTTTATTTTTGAAAAAAAAAAAAATTTAAAAATTCCCAAAGAAAGTACTTGATACAATAAAAATTAAATCAATTTAACATGTTTGGGATGACGGTAGTCGTGGAATTGTGGAAAGTAACTTTTTATGCAAATAATTTCTACTAAAATGGTGAAAAATAATTCACCCTCAAAATGAAATGCGGGGCCTATTAAAACATTCTAAATAAAATCCCTTCTTCATAAGGAAAATGAGCGGAAAAGTAGTTGCCTTGAATTCCCCGTCCTACAATATGGCCATATTTTCCCTTGGTTTTCCTATTTTATCCATTGTATATATTTTACTTGGTCATATGATCATATCCACTTTTGTAACCTTGTGATTGGTATCAACTATTCATGCATGTTAATAAGAAAATTAAAAATCATGTAATATTGTCCGATCTTAATTGCCTCTTTACTGTCCATAAAGTAGAGGCAAACGTTACAATTGCTCCATAACTTAGGGACAAAAATTACAATTTTCTCTAATAATAATAATAATAATAATAATAATAATAATAATAATGTTCAAATAGACCACTAAACTATATACAAATAAACAATTAGCTATCGAACTACAAAAAACTACAATTGAATCCATGAACTACCTAAAATTATGCAATTAAACCTGATGTAGATAATTGCATGGAGTGTATGTATGTATAAAGCAAGTATGAGAATTGTAGAATAATCACAAGGGGAAAACCCCATAAATGTCTTTTATTCAATGTAGTTCTTGAATCTCTAGAGAGAGTAGTATAAAGAGAGAGAGATAGTATAGAGGGAGGAGAGAGGAGCAACCCCAAAATGAAGGGTCAAGGCCCCTTTTATAGGCCCAAGTATGGGCGGGTTTAACTTTGACCCGTGCACCAGAACTCGAACTGTTTGATCCAAACCCAAACAAGAGCACGGAGCGTACGGAGAGCCTGAACCCGGGGTATATTCCCCATCAAAACTAAAATTAACTTGTTTTACCGGTCATTACTGAAGTAACAATTAATTTATTAAAATTTTAGTTTTTAACATTATAACAATAATTTTAAACTTAAATTTTTTTATAAAAAAAATCAATAAATGTTTTTTTTTAATATCAAATTTAAAATTATTTTAAAAAATTATATAAATTAACAAAAATAACTGGTCGAACATGTCAATTTCAATTTAATTTAATTGCATAACTTTAAGGGGGCATTTGGTTCACATAATGTTAGATTACCTTAGGGCATGTTAGATTCCTGTGTTTGATTTAAAACTAAGGTATGTACACAATGGAATGTGAGATCACTTAAGAAATTGGAGGGTATCTCACATTCCCTTTCAATAGCTAAAAACTTAATGTGGAGATTATGTGATATTCTCTGAGAAAATTACATAACCTGAACCAAACATGAGAATCTTATATTCCCAAGTAAATATAACCTAGTTATCGTATATAACTTGAACCAAACACCCCTCTAAATGGTTCAGAGATGTAGTTATAATTTTTTTAATTAGATGACCCGGTTGTACATTTTTGTATAAGAATAACCCCATTAAGGAAATTTTGCACAGGTTTTGATGTTACAATGCTTTGTTGGAAGAGAGAGAAGGGAGGAGAGAGAGTGTTTGGGGGTGGTCTTGCAAGCATTCAAGATTTTGCAGTGGTGTGGATCCCACGGTGGGAAGAAAAAGTTGAGCTTCATGCATGTGAGGGCAACTCTTGCTCCGACGGCGTGTAAATATGCTTTTTTTTTTGTTTTTTATAATTTAATTTTTCTTTTCTTTTTTTTTTTTCTCATATCTTATTTTCTATTTCCTAATCACACTTACAAAAACTCACTCAAAAACTATACCAAAGCCCCATAATTGAGAATGCCCTAACTAAGGAGACACGCGTACTGTTATGATTGGTTAGGGGGCAGATTCGTCGGGTATTTAAAATACGCCAAATCTTGCGCTTCCGGTTCCAACGGCCTGCTGCACTAATTTAAGAACATTAATTAATTAATCCTTAAAATTTTGGTCTGAATATATAAAAAATGCCATCTGGCTCCCGGTGCATGCACAAGAGCAATAACGACCCGACAAACTAAAATTGTATTTGAAAATTTTAGCGGCGTAAGACTTAAAATACTTGTCTATTTGTACTTTGTAGCCAGAATTCAGTTAGTTAATTGAACTGAAAATCATGTAATCGAGCCATTGGAATTAGGGGAAAAAATCGCCCAAATATGACACTTTGTAATGATTGCATCATTATATTTACTACCAAATTATTTTCCGAATCACGATTCACATTGTAATATGAACACCATTTTTAGTATATTGAAATTTTATTTTAATGTACAACATGTTCATTTTTAGATAGTATATTAAAAAACAAACGTTTAGTACATACATGTTGTGAAATAATAGAACAATAGAGAGGATATGGAGAGAAAGGAGATGATCTTTTATTGATAATTTCAAATATGTACATCATGTTATTAATTACAAATGAAAGATATGATCCTATATATAAGAAATAAACTCAACTTTTCATATCTACAACATAAATGAAGAAGATGAAGAGGTGGCAATAGAGAGGTCATGCAATAATGACCATCAATATATATATATATATATATAACATTCCCCTTGGCCATTATCTTACTGCACTCATGTCTCATTAAAAATATCGTTAGAAAAAATTTGTGGGAAAACTTAGTCGAGGAAAAAAGAATATATACTAATCTTCGTT